GTCTTTAAATAACTGAGAAGAAAGTGCTGCCTTTGTAATAATATCTGCAAATGGTTAGACTTTCTAGTCTTCTCGGATAGGGACGATAAATGGAGGTCCCGTCTCACAAGACCTTGTATGTGATAGAAAAATTTGTGGGACGTTAAAGAACCCACACACTGTTCGAAAAGAGTAGGGCACATAGTGCCCGGTGTTGTGGTCTATCTTTGTGCAGTGTCTATCAAATTGATGGGGGGTACTGCGCCTTTGAATATTGTATAGAAAGGGTGCAATATAAATAAGGAATTCATTCGATCATTCATTCATTCAATCATTCATTCAATTCATTCATTCATTCATTCATTCATTCATTCGTGACTTTTACATTTGATTCAATGGTGATGCTGTAAGGAAAAATTAGAAGCCAGACAAATGAATAAAGAGGGAAAGTTTTTTAAAAGAAACTGTGGTGTTGCATCGGTGGGGGAGTATAACAAGGTAATTTGGGTTTTATCTACTGAGTTGATAATGTAAATTGGCCACCATCAAGAGTTTCAAAGCTGATGTTTTAAGCATTAGCCCTTCATTAGAGCAAAAGGGGTTAAAGTCCCTATGACACCTATTTTTTTACATCTGATGCACGATCCTCGCAGTAGAGAGCGCTATTTATGCAATAGCGAAAATCAGACCTGAAAAAAATCAGGCCTGTACAGGATTCGAACCACTGACCTCTGCGATACTAGTGCAGTGCTCTACCAATTGAGCTAACAAGCCAACTGGGAGCAGGCTGTTAAGTTATTTTTTTAGCATTTAATTATAAAAATAGAAGTATGTGGAGGGTGTCTGGTAAGATTTGTGGGTAATTGTGATGCGTCTTTGTTATTTTATAAGGCAATAAAAGTCCGAAATTGTATCGAACTTAGGCTCCCCGTATCTCTTTGGCCGTGTTAAAGAGTACTGGAACCTGTGACGTCACAGTAGTAACACCAAGTTTATCAAAGCAGCAAAGTGAGTGTGGAACCTACAGTTTACAATCTTTTTAACCAAAAAATGCCATTTCAATGTGTAGTTTGGGATTTTTCAAATACCCCTGACTCCATGAAGTATATTTCTCTCCACAAGATTCCAACTGTGACGTCATGGTGCCCAGTCCCTCTTTGCTCAGCCAGACATTTTATCTGCAGATTATAGAGCTTGATAAAAAATTCAGAAAAGGGCAAAATATCACAAATATTGCAAAAACATGTTTAAGAGTCATTATATTTTGATGTAGAATAGAAAAAAAAAAGTGTCATAGTTACTTTAAGGTTTAGTAATCAAGCATGTGGTCACCAAGATGAAATTTCAACCTTTTTTTTTTTTTTTAAATTTTGAGGAACAACTTCTCCCTACCTCCACACTACTTCTCAAACAGAAGGGTGTGAAGAAGAAAGGATTCTTGGTGATATAATTTTTCAGTAGAAACAGTTAAGCAGTTTCTTGGTATCAACCAACTAAAGGCAAAGGAGGTGTTAAAGAAAAATAGTGAATACCTAAAGAATAAAACCTGAGAATTTAAACACGCAACACACCACCAGCAAGCTGATTGTGAATATCCCCCTTAAACCGCTATCGACAGAAGAGCTGTATAAATACATTTGGGTAGATTTTGTTATCTAAATTAAACACCCCTTTCTAAAAATATTGAAAGTACCAATTTCATGTAATTGAAGCCAAAGCATCAGTGTTGTGAGAGTTTTCCTGTATTGAAGGAACTGGAAGATGTCCATTATCGCTAGCAGATGATACACCACCATAATTGACCTCAGCATCCAATTCCCTGTTATGTGGGGCTGGAATGTAGCAGTCTTTGGCATCATCATCAGAGCGGTACCGCTTTTGCCTCCAAAATACCAATAGAGGAATACAAAGGCCAGTTGTCACAAATGTGCACCAGTTTATCCATTTCAATCCAAATTTCGGCAGCATTGGGAAGATGTAGAAAACAACTTGCAAGAAATTGTTGGAAAACGTAAGAAAACCTGAAGTGATTCCTTCTGCAACTGGGTATGTAGATTCCACCGCTAATTCAAAGAACAATGGGATGGTTCCATTTACAAACAATCCTCCCAGGATACTGGTTACAAACAGGACCACTTTTGAGTATGGAAGAATGTCAGCACATATCAGAGTAAATATCGTCAGTGATACTGTGGCACCAGTCAGGAGTGCTATAACAATCAGCTTCATGTAACGAGTGAAGTGGTCTGCAAATCTAAGAGAAAAACAATACCAATAATATCTAAGTAAATGCTAAGTTTAAACACAAATCAACACAGGCCAGGTATTAATTTGTTTTTAGCTAACCTTTTACAAACTAACATCAGTATGCATATTCTCTACACTGTTCTCAATACACTTCCTAAGGTGTAGAAAAGAAGAATCACAAACTTCTTTAGTTGGTGATCATTTCCTTTATTCCAGCTACCTAAATGTTTGATTCAGGAGTGATAAAGTTAGAAGAAATTAGAAGTTAGTAACTCTTAGGAGTCAAAAGGCTGACATCATCTAAACCACAAGTGTCTTCAAAAGAGTAGCTATGAGAGATTCACACTGATCAGCTCTCGTTTTCATTCTGGTCCACTTTCTCTCCAACACAAATGGTAAAATTTCTCTTGGTTTTTCTTACATATTGTTTAGTCCTTAACCTCTTCCCTCTAATCATCTAATTACAAGTGGCTCTACTGTCTGCCACACATTTTTAGTGGTTACAGCTCTTGGAATTTGGTGATAATAAAGCAACATCCTATTTTTTCTTTCTTTCTTCCTGTCACATTTCTGCATGAAAATGCATGGATAATGTGAGGAGAAATTCCTTTTTAATCACTCTTGGTAATAGGGTTGAATAAATCTTCAAAGGATGTTAACTCTTTTCCACTGATATCCTTTCTTCTATATGCTTTGATGACTGGAAGGCTGAAAGCAATCTATATATTTTTGCATGAGTTATAGACTACTTTCATAAATGGCTGCCAGATTAATATTCTTTTGTTTAAATTTAAATTAGCCCTACTGGCCTCGTTGTCAAGTACAAAATTCAAAAGAATACATTATCTCAAGTGAGGCCAGTAGGGCTAATTTAAATTTAAACCAAAGAATATTTATACAGCAGCCATTTATGAAAGTGGTCTATAAGTCTCTATTATTACACGACTCGGGCAGTCAGAGGGCAAAAAACTAAAATCAACCGATCAAAATGCTCTATTGTTGGTCAAAATTCTCTCAGTATTGGACTGGGCACTGTCCCGATTGGTCCCAAATGATAATGCACTTGTGTCCCTTTGAACTTCAGTCGTATAATAAATCTCTTATTAACCAAGCTCGCTCGGGACCGTACTGGAAGAATATTGGCCCTCAGTCTTTTTGGTACGGACCTCGCTGTGCTCGGTATGTACTGTCAAGACCTCGGGCCGATATTCTCCCAGTACGGCCCTCGTGCTTGGTTAATAAGATATATTTACTGCATTCAAGAGGCAGATTAACAAAGCTGTCTGCTATACTTGCCTTTCATAAAACCTTCTGGGCACAATAATAATGGTACTTACATTGAGAGGGAAATTCCTGAGACTGATCCAGCAACAACAGCCCCAAACCCCAACCAACCAGCTGTCTTCTGATCAATTTGGAACTGTGAGAGATTAAGATCTAAAATGGAGCACCAACCACCATAAACTCCTGTTCCCATACCATATATAAAAACCAACAACCAGAACTGGCCATTCTTCAGTAAGTTCTTGGCACCAATTTTAAATTCTAGTCGTCCTAAGGCAGCAGTGACACTTGGTGGTAGCTTTGGCTTTTCGGGAAAATGGATGATAACAAAAAGCATTGTTAGAGCAGTGATCCCCAACTCAGTGTACATGAGATTCATGATTTTTTTTCTCAAGTAGTCAATCTCACTCTGGTTGAAATGCTTTCTCAGAGCTGTATAGTTAATCTCTGAGCCTGGCCCAGTGGTAAGATTTAAAGCTACTTTCATATCTCCCACATCCGGAACCATTAGGGGTCCTAAAACAAAAGAAAGTGCAGTTCCACTGTAACAGGCAAGGGAGGAAATGGCTGTAGCTGTTGTGCGCTGATCTGGGGGAAACCATGCCGCAGACACCATTGGGGCTGCAGCCATGGCAATGGGTCCTCCTATTCCAGTTATGAACTGTCCACAGTGGATGAGCCAAGTTTGAAGGGTAACATGCTGACCATGAAGGGGTATACAGCGCAAACCTGCTCCGATAAATTCACAGAAGACAGCTGCCAGAACAGCTACTCTTAAACCTAGAGAATAAAGAAGCAAAAATGAGAATGATGTACAGTTACAAGGTCTGTAAAATGAATAGTTCTCGTGTTCTTTTCCAGGTAGCCTCAGTCACCATATTGTTGGAAATTCTACCAGTTCATAGTCCACCAATCACCCAATGGTCATGGTCAACCACCAATTGACAAGGTTCTAGTTGTTAAAAGGGCAGATAAATCGTGGATAGCATTATCTACCATTCAAACAGAGGGGACCAGAAGTCAGAAGAAACCTCAGTTCATAGTTGGTTGATTACCAGGGAATCATCAAATCATTTGAATTTTGCTTAGCTTGCGGCCAGTTCTATAGATTCTCACTGGCCTCTTTAACTATTATTAAAACTGTGGCTTTAGTTTCAAAACTCAGTTAAAAAAGATCTCCACCACGCAAAAGAAATCCAGGAAACGTTCAAAAGATCATTACAAAGTGAATCCTCATCCTAGTAAGGAACTTGCGTGCGGTAGTAATTGAACTAGGCAACACAACACGAAACTACCAGATTGACGACCAGTGCTTCAAGGAAATCAAATGTACCACCAAAAATGGTATGTTATTGCTAAAAATCTAACAATAAAACATATTATTTCAATACATTTTTTTAATTACCTTTCATATCCATAAGCCAGCACATTGGTACTACAGTAACAACAAACGAAATTGGACCCCAATCTGCAAGCAACGTTATAGTCGTGCTATCCCAGCCGAACACCACTTGTGAAGTGCCTTGTATGGGTCCCCACGTATTCCAGATCAAGTTATTCAGTGCGGCAACGACTGAGAAGACTGCCAAAATGTACCATCGCCGCTTGTAAACCTTGCATTTATTCTGGTGAACAGATCCCATGGATTTATATCGGCGATCATCAGAACGGAGCAACGCTGCTCTCTCTTCGAAAGATTTGCCTTGATTCATTGTGATAACGCGCCAAAACACAGGGAAATTAACGAGCTTTCTCTTCCACTCTGCTTATGAAAGGTTTCTCTATTTTTAGAAAGGTTTCGCTTGCGCTATTTCCGGTTTTTCGCACAGAGTTCCTAGCTGGTTTTTAGGACCGACCGGCGTCCCAAATTTAGTTTCAAAATGAGATAGCTTGCATCACTTGACTTGAAAAATCATTAGCCTTTTTTTTTCTTCTCTCTATAATAACCTTGGTGCACAATTACACCTTAAGGCAAGGAAAAATCCGTAGAGAAGGGCAGTTTTTCTCTTACTACCGGAGAGTTCCCAGATTTTTTTGTCATGTGATCACTTTTCAGGAAACACTCTGTGGGAGAGGAACAGGCTAAGATCGTAACTACACGTCATTTCAACTCGCGCGTGTCAACTCCCAGTCACGCGAGATAATAGAGAGATTAGGGACTCTTGCCGTCCACGTTACACGTAAACGCGGTGACCAAGTGACCTTGTTTTTCCTACCATTTCTCTACGTTTGCTGGTTGCGCTATGCCGTTTCTACGTGAAATTAACCTGTTTCGCGTTTGCCGTGTACGTAAGATTTTCTCAACTTTTTCTGTCACTGAGTAGAAGTTAATTGCCAGAAAAAGGGCACCAAACCTATTCCTTGTAAGTCAAACAAGGGCGCCTTCAAATCCACCATGACGTGAGCTCACGCGAAGCTAAAGCAGAAAGGTTCACAATATTTTACGTGAAAACTGAAAGGGCAAGCTGACGTTCGCCGTTTCACGTAAACGCGGTGCTAAATCTCTCTAATATCTTTTCGTGTATCTCCAAAATCGTAATCTCGGTCAATCCTGACGACTAAGTAAGAAGAGCTACTTAAGACGTACGTAATCTGTAAAGGGCAGTCAAATTTGGTTTTGTTCTCGCATTTATTCCCGCTAATGGCAAGCTCCTCTTCACCTATGCTCACAGCACTTTTTAGGGGAGGCGGGGAGGGGGGGGTTCTACCTGTTTGGGGTTTTCCTTTGGGGTCTTTGTCTTCCTTCCTTTTACTTAGTGCTCAATCGAGAACAAAGCTAGCTTAGAGGACTCGCTAGGCCGCTGTAGAGTTAGATAAGATAGACAGATTGTTTAATGGCCATATGCATTGCAGCCCGAAGGCTGAATTGCGTATATACAAATGATTAAATGTTCAAAAGTAAGTAAAAAAGGGATAAAATACAATAAAGGGACTTAGAAAAACCTACGTACAGTATTAATCTTAACGGTACAGGATCTTATAATACAACTGTTTCTAAAACGATCTGTCTTGCATTTGTGTACGAAGAAGCGCCTATAGCACCTTAGGGCATAGCGTGATGGACCGCTAAGTTGAATTAACTTGTTCAGAGTTTCAACTTCTTTGTTTTTTTGTTTTTCCTTTTTCCGCTCTGAAAGTTTATATGTGCAGTGTGTTTTGTAAGTGCATGATATGAGTACGCAATCAACATACGCTTGTATTCCTTTCGCTCATGAATAGAATGGTACAAAGCTACATTTCTGAGCATTTCTATTTTCCTTTGGTACAAGTATGGTATCTATCGTCTGTTTTTATTATCAAATGGAGAATCTTTTATCGTTCTATCAAATAAATACACTGGTGGATGGGGAACAAATTTCGACTTTAACCTAATTTCCCCGTTTTTGGTGATTCCTCTGGCTAATTCGACCGAGGTACTTTCCCTTCCATCTTTCCCTGCACCCGTTAGATACCCTGCACGTTGCAAGCTAATCAAATACCGCTCTAAACGCGCAGATGGAGAAAGATCACGATTCAAGCTTCGAATGATTATCACTGCTGATGAATCGTCAATAGAAGTTTCCTTTTCATGCACAAGGCTTTCTCTGCGAGGAACTGTTATTCTGTTGCTCTTTTCACTTCTCCTAGACAAAACAGAAGAACTAACACGCTTGTTTGATGACAGAGAACGATTTGTTATCCCGGAAGGAGACATTATTTTAGCTACAGTTGGTGCGCTGACGGATTTAACACCCAAACTCGAAGAATGAAAACTGTTAGTTCTTTGCACGGACTTCACAGGTTGTCCATTATCATTATAAATATGGAAAAGGTAGTTTGTTACTTTTTGTCGTGTTGCCAACATATTACACTCATTTCTCGTAAACCCAAACGGAAATGTAACATCAGGGCAGCTGTAAGCGTATCCATTGTCGGAGATCCTGCACAAAGATCTTGGTGAGTCGGACTGCGATAAATTTCGGCCATCAAAGGCGGCTGTAGATTTGAACAAAAAATAGCAAAACATTACTGTGAATGCTCTTTGGAAAGCTGGTGAGGTGGTGGTGTAACTTTTCATACGCTAGACTACGAATAGGCTTCTTTTCGGCGAAGTCGGTCGCGTGAGTCCAAAAGAATTAGCTGAAAAAAACTTGACGTCCATGTGCCGTGGGGGAGCGCGGAGAGGATCACTCGCAAAGCTCCCGCGGTTCATCGACGTCAATTGTTTCTGTTGATTTACCGGACGCACCCGACGGAATTCGCCGAATAGAAGGGACTGCCCGTAATCACACGCTGTATCCCTTGTAGAGCTTGGTTGAGCTTGTCGTCGTGCCCTTCAGCGGGAAATTCCAGTACCTCTCATAGCCTTCTACCGAAAGTAAAATGGGGACATTGGTACAGGAAAACGGAGCAATCAATGACGCGCGGGGGGAGGACAACCACCTGTATGAATTAGAATTCTATTCGGAAGGGGTGCTCATGCTTCTAGCCCGAGTAGCGCGCCTTAAAGAAAGAAGCGTCAGTAGAGCGGGATGCCGAGTAGGGAGGGCGAGAGCGAACAAAATTAGCGACCAGCGGAGGGAGGGGTAGGGCTTGTCGTCTTTTAGCTCACTTTTGCCCCATGCCCTTGGGAAGTACCCACTCCGCTAGGACCCAGGAGGCAGGGACAAGCCACGACAGCTCGAATCTAAAAGCACCCGAAAACTTTGAAAGTCAAACTTTTGTTGTCTTTGCTCCCATGAGATGAAGAAACTCCTCGCCTTCCGCGGGGTATTGTTGACCGAATGCGGTTCTTGATTGGAACTTCCACTCCATGGCACTGAATTGCCCTGCTAGCAAAGTCGTTCAAAGACATCTTAGTGATTCATTCAAGGCTAAAAGGCAACCTGTGAAAAAAAAAATTATAACAAGCACGAAAAGTATGTCATATAGAAATATCACTGAAATGTTTTTGCATTCCTATTTCTTTATACCTATTTATTTACTTTATTTTCATTTTTGGACGTATCCAAAACTTTCAGAACTACATAGTGCAATTTAGCCGGTAAAGAGCACAAATTCAGGTTTCCTAAACTCCAAAGCAATCTCATTAACATTAAATTTCTGTTTACCCCTTCCTGCTTCTACGAATTCGCTTCTTTGAATCTTAAGCGTGAACACGGTATATACTTATTGTACGCACTCTGAGTAAGTTAGCGCTCCTTTATAAGAAGGGTGATGAAATAGAACTACAAGTGTAATAAGACATGATGTGTTGATATACAAAGGGCGCCAAGAGCGTGCAAACAATCAAGGGAGACAGATACACTAACCCAGCCTTAACAACCGGATAAAACCGGTGTTTTGGCTCTTAATATTGGCTTTGGTCAAAGAAAGCGTTCTTTCCTATTCTTTCTCTTCTCTAAATTGTGTAAACTGCAAGAATGAGAAGTGAGGCTTATTAAGTTCTTGCATTGTATAATTTCTTTGTTGTCGTCATCTCGGGTTACCCGTCTATTTTAATAAAGAAAATAAGAAACTTTTTCTGCATGATATCGAAATAAGTATTTTCATGGATTTTTTCTATGTTACTTTACTCCTTGCCACCGACCATAAGGGCACAAAATATGTACTCAAAGAAAGCCTGCCTTTCTCAAAATTGCATAAAGCAAAAACAGGAACTGAGGCTTACTATGTTGTTGGATTGTCTTAGGTTTCTTTCCTGTCCTCATCTTACAAATTATATGTAAATTTTAACACTAGATATAAGAAAACTTTTCAGCAAGATGGATAAAATAAGTATTTTCTTCGATAACAAATTTACTTCTGAAGTAAATGTATAGGTTACAGGCGGTATGTGGCTAGCTTTCATGAGTATTTGTAACCGTAAAAATTCAGAAATAAGCGTTTCAGCGTGTATTCATAAATAATTCGGTGGTGATGACGGCATAAGTGCGGTAGTTATCATATACAAATTCATACATCAGATACAATGAAATATATGAACTTCATATATTTTGAACTGCGGTATTAGATACATATGATACACGATCCTCGCAGTAGATAGGGCCATTTAAGCAATAGCGAAAATCAGACCTGAAAAAAATCAGGCCTGTACGGGACTCGAACCACTGACCTCTGCGATACTAGTGCAGCGCTCTACCAGGTCAGTGGTTCGAGTCCCGTACAGGCCTGATTTTTTTCAGGTCTGATTTTCGCTATTGCTTAAATAGCGCTATCTACTGCGAGGATCGTGTATCATATGTAAATTTATACATGTTAAGGTTTTGTGTTTAATTTTTCTTTGCCTTGAATAGAAAGTGCTGGACTGTACAGTTTGACCTGTTTTCAGTGGAGCATTTCCCTCAACGTTCCGGCTATCTGATATTGGTATGAGCCTGCTACTTTTTCACTCGATTATTTATTTTTTTTTTAAAAAAAGAGAGAAAAAATAAAATAACTCATTTGTTTGCTCACCGTTTGCTTCTCCTTCAGTATAATTTCCAACGCTGGTTTACCGCTAAATGTACATTAGAAACCAAAACTACATTTTCAATCAGAGGTTCCGCGAAAAGAAAATTTGGGAAAGTGTTGTTTTTAAGCGATAAGTTACTTCAAATAAGATTACTTACCTTGATATCCGCGGCGATATCGAAATTACTGGATATTTGATGAGTCCCAAGATCGTCCGGGAAACAATGTTATTATTATTAGCACCTGTCGTGCGCAGGACACCTCGGCCATCAAGGAAAAGCACTGGGCTGAATTAAATTCAAGATGGCGGAGTTTCGACTCGTAAAATTCAGTTGACTTAAATCTCAGAGATACCTTGATTTTCTCCCACCGTACCATTGAGCCACAAAGATGTTCTATTATCAACACAACTTTACAAGATAGAAGTGTCTCTTCCTGAGCCGACAAACGGGGAAGGGGAAAATGTTTTCGTTTCAAATCAAAGGCGTAACCCCTACCAATATAGAATTGTTTGCAATGCTACGAGACGTCAATCACGCTGTATCAAATTGATGTAAAATATTCGGCTTGTCACCACCGTTATCCTTTACACTAAAGATAAATAGATTTGACAAGCGAAAAAAAATAACTGAAAGAATGGTTCGATGGTTGAATGGAAGAATGAGTGAATGAACAAATGATTGAATGAAAGCTCGATTTTTTTGTTGTTGAAGCCTTATTTTGTTAAAACAATAACCTTTACATTCGTGACTGATAGAATGCAAGACGAAGAGAACAAGAATTGACCTGACATGGCGTACTTCTTAAACTACATTTACCCAGAATTGCAAAACGGTTTCTTTGAGAGATTGGAGAACTCGTCCTCCCTTAGTCGCTGTCGTTGTCGTTAATAGTGAAGGTGAAGAGAGTCTGTCCTTTGACTGGGAGGTTAGGGATTCATTCCCACTAGGAACAAATTTTTTATCCTTCTTATTCACGCGACACCTCGAGGTTACATTTTTCTTTGAACGACTCAACAATTAGAGCGCGACACCGCCTTTATTAACAACTACCAGGAACCCATTACCTGGGCTTCTGCAACTGTAAATTATCTCCATATCCTAAGTAAATTATCATTACATTGTTAGCTCTGTTTTGATTCGTCCACATCTAGTCTTTTGTATTTCTCTTTGTACACTGCAACCAGCGGAATGCAGACCACGGTCGAGGAGACTAGTAACCAGTTCATCCATCGCGGGCTCGCTTGCGGGAACATAAATGCGATAAAGAAGATCAAATTGATGACGTATACAGATAGGACCATTACACCGGAAGTGATACCTTCAGCTACCGGATATGAGCACTCTGCCGCGAGTTCCATAATGAGAGGAACAGTTCCACAAAAGAGCACGACCTGGGAGATACCCGAAGCGAAGAAGATTGGTTGTGAGAGAGGAATGATCTCCTCACATGCGAGCGATAGGACTGTTTGAGCTCCAGCCGTGGCCACAAAGAGGAAAATCAAGATTGGCTTGGTGAAACTCTGAATGCGATCGGCATACCTACAAAGAACAAGGTAATTTGATAATGTAAATTTGATAATGTAAATTTGATAACGTAAATTTGATAATGTAAATTTGATAATGTAAATTGGCTACCGTTAAGAGTTTAAAAGCTGACGTTTTGGGCGTTAGCCCCTCGTCAGAGCGAAGAATAAGTCGCTTTGTTAAGTGAGTTCAATTTCGAGCAAGTTCGTTCCAAGGCTCGCTCTTCCTCCCTTTATTTAGGAACAGGGGCCATGAGAACGAATTGGACTTAGGTTACTGCACATCTTCAGAAGGAATCATAAGGTGCGCGAAAGTCGCACGTATCTTTTCTTCCAGACCCCTTCCTGAATTTTACCTTCCCCCCCCACCACCCACCGCAAACGTTGCTTCAGGTAGCCATAGGTATGATGTAAACCCTAGAATGATTTCTTACGCCGTCTTCATTCTGGACAAAATGCCTGTCTTTCACTGTTAAAGGTCAAAATGCTAACATCCGTAAGTGCTATGGCTATGGCATTAAAGCGCAAAAATTTAGCAATGACTTGAAAACTTTTTTTTACCCCTGTGGTTTTAAATCTTCAAAAAGTGTGTCACAGGTCAACGTTTGAGTCGATTAAGACTAGTGAGACAATTAAGACTATTAAGGGGACGGAGTCTTGACGCTCAAACAACATGGCATTGGTGTGGTGGACAACAACATCTTAAACATACCACGAAAAGGAAATACCAAGAAGAGACGCAACATTTGCTGAGAATCCCAACCAGCCAGCGGTCTTTTGATCAATTCCCACTCCGGAAAATATGAGGTCCTGAACACTAGACCAACCCCAGTTAACTCCGTTACTGACGCTAAATATGAGTAACAATAACCAGAATGACCGGTTTTTCAGTAGAGTTTTGGCGCCAGAACAAAAATCCAGCCGTCCAGCCGCGGACGAAAGGCTTGGCGGGCTGGGCGGTTTGGCGGGAAAATAAATTAACACCGTAAACAGTAACACTCCCACCAAAACGGCTTCGATGAACAAGTAGTCATTTATTCTTGACAAAAGAAATTTCATTTGTTCTGGAGTTGTGTGATTCCTCAGTGTTTCGATGTCGATGCTCTGTCCCGTTTTATATTTAGTCAAGTTGCCGTAATCAACGTCTGGGACGAGATGGGGTCCAACGATGTAGCTAAAAGCCGAGCCCAGATACGACGCCAGCGTGGCGATGGCCGTAGCGGTCATGCGCTCGTGTGGCGGGAACCATGTCGCGGACAGCACAAGCACTCCCGCGTTTTGAACCGCGGGAACAGCCACCGAAATAAGGAATTCTGCAAACGTTATGAGTACAGTCCTCCACTGGGGATGGGCCGGGATAAGTTCGCAGATGACGGCGAAGGTCTGAAGTAATATGGAAAATATCACTGCAAACCTTAGACCTGAACAAACAAATGAGGAAAAATAAAAAACCTTGATATATGGAAGTTATCGAAATACAAATCTCAAAAATTCTTGTATTGTGATGAAGACATAAAACAATTTTGAGGAATGCGCCCGCTGTTCACTGCTTTGGAGTAGCTGTAGCTCAAGCTGACGACTCTAAGAGTTCTACATCACACGACGGTTGATTGACAAATGGTCCAGTGGGACCTAAGGCTCCTTTTATAGTGCGCCTTCGTGTTTAAATGTATGTTACTTGCCAGTATTGAAACAAGTTTTTGGAAAACACAAAATGTAGAATGATGTGATGTTTTGGTTTTCACAAATGATTTTCTACAAAGCTTATACACCGAATGCAAATATGGCGTCCAATTTGAGTTGCCATTGTTCTGGACTGACTAGTCTCTCACACATCCAATGATCCTTTTGTATTTCCACGTGAAGACGAGGTTAGTCAGTCCAGAACAATGGTAATTCAAATTGGACGCCATATTTGCATTCGGAGTATATTCCACTGCTTATAGGAGCCTAGTAGTTTAATGTTACAAATAAAATGTGATTATTATTATGTTTTCCAAGTAATGTCCAAAATAATTCAGACCTTAACATTTCTTGACTTCCTGTGAGCTTGGCAGTCTTCTAAATTCTCTTCATAATGGTTCAAACGAGCATTGATATTTAAAGGAGCACTCTTATGAAACCGCCCTATAATTTGAAAACTCGAAAAATTCAGTTATTTCATTATAATATGAATATTTAGCGATTAATAAAGCCTTTTCAATAATAATTTTAGTTGAAAGTCAATTCTAGGGCGAGAAATTACGATTTGAAAACCGTTCCTCCATTAATTTTCCTAATCACTTGCCGGGCTCAAGAAGACTGGCGCGAGTTTGGAGATTACTCATTTGACGTGCCGTGCTCGTGGCTAATTTTCAAAAACAGTATTTTGATCGTATATATCGCTTTTTATAACACTAAGACTAAGACTATTTCACTAAATTTCATGAGGTTTCCGTATAAATATAAAAGTGTTTTGACTAATCTACGTCACAATGGGAGTGACCGCTGACCGAAGATAAGTTGGCCGTGAATACGAAAATTAATGGCAGAACGGTTTTCAAATCGTAATTTCTCGTCCTAGAATTGACTTTCAACTAAAAATATTATTGAAAAGGCTTTATTAATCGCTAAAAATTCATATTATTATGAAATAACTGAATTTTTCGGGTCTCCAAATTATAGGGCGGTTTCAAAAGAGTGCTCGTTTAAACTTGGTAACAATACATGTGTATTAGGCCTTTATTTGGTAGACTACTACTCCTTTTCAATTACTTGTTTGGTTTTGGTTAATTCATCGCAATACTGATATACATGAAAAATTACACTCTTGATTGGCTGAAAACAGCTAGGTGTCTTTTTCATGTATCACTTGTGCAAAAGTAATTACTCAAGTACAAATGTAAACCATTGGTAGGCTCGGCAACAATAGGTCACACTAGAAACCAATCAGATTTACACAAAGTAAATTGTGCAGATTGATACACATAGTAGCTGACTGAAATAAACAAAAGCTTCAATTTTCTTGGTATATTAATAGAAACTGACAAAATTGCATTCCTGAGTAAGATTTCAGCTGAAAGACAAATTTTGATAGCCTGTCAAGTGGACCATTTACATGTTGATGTCAAGTTCACCTTTTCATTTCATGTCTCCACATAGCTTGAATTTGGGAAACACACTGGCATGAAATAACAATATCAATAATAAGAAAACTTGAAAGATTCTGGTACTTTAAATCATATGATACCATCATGCACTTGCCTGTACATTGAACTCTGTTGTGTTTAAGTTATGTCTCTGATTACTGTTCCTGAAATCTATTGTGGTGACACTTATCTCTACTGAACTTTCTGTTAAATAAAACCTCCAGGTCAAATTGTGAATTTTAAAGAGTTAAAAATTATTAACAGTTTTAATGTGATGTTATTTCAGAGTACTACCTAATATGATTCATTAAAGTATTGCTCATGTTCTGTTCTTGTAATGCGCCTATTTTTCCCCCTTGGTTCTTCCATTTGCAACCCCATATCCACCCACCTCAACTTTCTGTGTTCTTTACTGACAATACAGTCCCACAAAACCCAAATACAATAATAAGAGTAAATTTTGTGCCCTAATGGACAATGGAAACCTACACTCAGCATTATGTTACTTTACATGTATGTATTGTCAAAGATTAGTCACATTCAAACCAAATCAAGCTCCAAATGGCTTCTAGTGTAGATTTCATCATTTCCCAAACGTTTTGGCCTTTCTGGCAAGTTCTGTCCTTGTGTACTGGTACACAAAATGCCAAAAATATTCATAACTTCCCTAGAGTTAATTTCACATCACTCGCCTTGGAAAAGACAATCAACCTACAAACTTCAGAACTCAATTCCACTTAGTTACGTAAACAAAGTCATGACTGATTCTATTAGGTCACTATGGGAGATGATACTGATGCTTTTTTTAGGTCCTAAAATCTTCAGGTTACATTTGAAACCTTCATTGTCAAAATGAGGCCTCCATAACAAAGTTTGGCCATTAGTGCTCATCTTGAAAATGAACATTTCAGGACTACTGTATGCCAGTTATCTTATTTTATCGATGAACAGGAACAATATTGGAAACTATCTAACCGTAATCAGATATTAGCTCTTCTAATGAAACTCAATAAGACATCTGACACTAGAAAATAATTTCGTAAGCCAATTCAATTTCGTAAGCCACACATGTACGCATTGCGGACCTATTTTTTAAAAAGAATAAAGGCTGATAGTCTCTAAAGAAACTGTTTGGGTCTGCGTCGGTGGGGGTAACGAAATAATTTGGATATATCAACAAAGTTGAAATGGTAAATTGGCCACCATAACGATTACAAAAGCTGACATTTCGAGCGTTAGCCCTTCATCGGAGCGAATGACGCTCCGAATGACGCTTCGACGAAGGGCTAACACTCGAAACGTCAGCTTTTGTAATCGTTATGGTGGCCAATTTACCATTTCAACTTTGTTGATATATCCAAATTATTTCGTTACCCCCACCGACGCAGACCCAAACAGTTTCTTTAGAGACTATCAGCCTTTATTCTTTTTAAAAAATAGGTCCGCAATGCGTACATGTGTGGCTTACGAAATTGAATTGGCTTACGAAATTATTTTCTAGTGTCAGATGTCTTATTGAGTTTCATTAGAAGAGCTAATATCTGATTACGGTTAGATAGTTTCCAATATTGTTCCTGTTCATCGATAAAATAAGATAACTGGCATACAGTAGTCCTGAAATGTTCATTTTCAAGATGAGCACTAATGGCCAAACTTTGTTATGGAGGCCTCATTTTGACAATGAAGGTTTCAAATGTAACCTGAAGATTTTAGGACCTAAAAAAAGCATCAGTATCATCTCCCATAGTGACCTAATAGAATCAGTCATGACTTTGTTTACGTAACTAAGTGGAATTGAGTTCTGAAGTTTGTAGGTTGATTGTCTTTTCCAAGGCGAGTGATGTGAAATTAACTCTAGGGAAGTTATGAATATTTTTGGCATTTTGTGTACCAGTACACAAGGACAGAACTTGCCAGAAAGGCCAAAACGTTTGGGAAATGATGAAATCTACACTAGAAGCCATTTGGAGCTTGATTTGGTTTGAATGTGACTAATCTTTGACAATACATACATGTAAAGTAACATAATGCTGAGTGTAGGTTTCCATTGTCCATTAGGGCACAAAATTTACTCTTATTATTGTATTTGGGTTTTGTGGGACTGTATTGTCAGTAAAGAACACAGAAAGTTGAGGTGGGTGGATATGGGGTTGCAAATGGAAGAACCAAGGGGGAAAAATAGGCGCATTACAAGAACAGAACATGAGCAATACTTTAATGAATCATATTAGGTAGTACTCTGAAATAACATCACATTAAAACTGTTAATAATTTTTAACTCTTTAAAATTCACAATTTGACCTGGAGGTTTTATTTAACAGAAAGTTCAGTAGAGATAAGTGTCACCACAATAGATTTCAGGAACAGTAATCAGAGACATAACTTAAACACAACAGAGTTCAATGTACAGGCAAGTGCATGATGGTATCATATGATTTAAAGTACCAGAATCTTTCAAGTTTTCTTATTATTGATATTGTTATTTCATGCCAGTGTGTTTCCCAAATTCAAGCTATGTGGAGACATGAAATGAAAAGGTGAACTTGACATCATCATGTAAATGGTCAACTTGACATGCTATCAAAATTTGTCCTTCAGCTGAAATCTTACTCAGGAATG